TCATGTTAAAGAAATTTTTAGGTCAGAGCTTTAGTCAGTATGCATTTATTATTTTTTCAAATGAAACATCTTTTTAAGAAATACCTACATGCAGATTCAAGGAAGGCCACCCTTTCACTCTATATTGTTTTCAAAGTCACACCCTTCCCTGAACATTCATACACACATACACAAGCAACAAATGGAATTGAAATAATTAAAATCCTTGAAAACAGACTCCGATCTTTGAACAATTCAAGTTTGTGTCATTGGAATTTTTATTACTTATAAAAGCAAAAAAATCAGATCCAGTGTTTGACCTGACCCAATAATACTTAATGGCAATGAACAGCAGGACAAGAAGAATACATAGCAATACAATAAACATGGAAGATGCGTATCTGTAGAGCTTTAGAGAAAAAAAAAAAAAGAAGTGGTAAGGTTGGGTTAGACGTTCCACCACCATACTTTACACATGCAAACAACCATAGTCATTTTTCTAATTTTTTAGTGCTCAGAGAAGAAAAAATAAGAAAGCAATGCATATCAAATGGGAGCTTGGTGTAGTTTTGTATGGGGCTGAATGTTGTATGTATATTGTTTTGGGACAAATTCAACATTTATCTCAGTATAAACATTTAGTTGAGGTGATGGTAGAACACTGGGGCAGGGGCTCAGACCTGCTTGCCAAGTACCTTGTAGCCACCACTCTTACAAGAAGTCCTAAAAGTTATTTTCAGAGCCACTGGTAGTGAGAGCTCTGCACTTCCAAGGTCTACATAGTTGATGAAGCCATCACAAGAGGCTTCCCTTCCCTAATGGATACAGGTTTTTTTATGTATATTCGGGTTAATACAGCTGAAAGCTTTGGAACAGATCTCCCCACTGGAATCCCCAGGAGACCTAAAACATCAAAGGCTTATCCAAGCCAATAAACTGCACATAAGTAACGGAAATATCCCTTTTAGGGAACTGACTCTAAATGAAATGTTGCTACTCATACCTGGTTGGATCAACGTCATCAGCCATTTTTATAACGTGAAGAACCTGGAAACATGTACAAGCAAATGTGCTAAAATAAGGAGTGAAATGCAGGAAATGTTTTCCAGAACTATATGAAAGAACATCCCTTTAGATTTACACCTCGTCTCCTCCAGCCAATGGCACGATAGCCTAGCAAGCATTCACATGTTAGAAGATGCTTCCCTTACCATAACTCAATATGGAGAAATTCCTCAGTTCAATCAACTAACGTCCTGCTTAATGAAACAATGTCCCATTGGCCATTCAGGCCATATAGCCCAACCCCCCAAAACATGTATACTGACCTAGCAAGCTCCACCACCACCTTTCTGCTGCAGCATCCCCGCCTAAGCTCTGTTGGTAACTGGCGTCGGAGCTTAGATGGAGGGAAGACATCTTGTACCCCTCCCATAAAAAAAACAGACCCACACGTAACAGTGTTTGGAAACGGTGGCCAGGAGAGGTCACATGCTTCCCCATACCTGGAAGCTCTATTCCATTAGTGAGGAGTGGGTTTTTTTATACAGCACCATGTTTAAAACATTGACATATATTGATTAAAAAGCCCACTACAGCCATAAGTCATACTTATACCCACGGTGCAGGAGAAAAAGGAATGTAACAATTAGAAAATTGGAATGTTCAACAAGTATAAAAAAGTGCAGTAGAGAATATTTAGCTTCAGAGTAGATAATTACACAAGCAGAGCGCAATGCCTGACATGTAGGATAACCATTATACATACAGTATGTTAAAGCGTAATAAAAACACAAATGGATATCCATCCATAGAGGCCTTTATCTAGACAGGTTTCTGAAGTATAAAGGGTGTACAAATTCAGCATATGGAAGGAAAGGGTGCAGCCCACAGATTCCCAGAAAGAATACTGGGATAGCAACGGTAACAGATGAAACAAATGTCTGCAAGCAGACCTTAGTCACTGATCCAGGAACTGTAGACAAAGCTCCTGACTGACATTTGTTCCCCGCTTGGTGGCTTACAAATACCGAAGCCAGAGAATCAGATATACAGTACAGAATGTAGCATTTTCAGAAGATTAGCAATGGCAGCCTACATAATTATCTCATGACAGGCTCCCTTCAAAGCAAAAACTCTCTTTACCTTCTTCCCATACCTCAGTCATGCATTCTGTGGTCATCTGGAATTGTAACAGTTGATGAATGTGTCGCGGAAAGGGAAGTAGGAGGTCTGGTTTCCATCTACCGTATATGCCTTTCTTTCCCCTCTCACGCAGACATATTAGTTTGAGAACAAGACAATGGGAAGGTCCACTGCAGTTTGTCATTAACAAATTTTACCATAACATTAACTTAGAAGAAGACGTAAATATACATATACAGTACTTGAAAAAAGCACCTGTGCAAGGCACGTGTACTCAAAGGGTCACAGCTTAGTCCTGAGACAGTGTCCACCATTGGTGGGTTTAAGGCGACTACTGCAAGCTTAGAAACTCCAAAAATGATGTCATAGGTGTGTTCAGATTATGCCACCTACTAGTCTGGCAACTGGATGGCCTTGATAAATGCTGCTCTCCAAAATCCCTGCAAAAAGGTTTATAACATTTGCCAGCTGGCGAGCAACATTCTGATAAAATATGGTGGTCAGTCACAGTAAGCATTAGGAAATAAAAGTCAATAAGGGAGATATGAGGGCGGTTAGCTGGCTTCTATTCTTGCTTCTTAGAAACAGAGATCCAGAAAAAGAAAGGAAGTCAGTATCTGTGATCTAGATCTGGGAGTATGGAAGAAAGAGGGTCAACATGACAGTGATCTAAGTAACTTATTTCATGAATGGCAACCTCCGTGTATCGCTTATGACAAGTTTGCTTTTCTTTTAAATGTACATTTTAAAGTCCACCCCCAGACTGATGTTTTGGATTTGAATAGATGTCAGTGGGTTCAACCAGATGCCAACCTCTTACTGTCCTCAGGAACCTCAGCAATTAGAAGCCGATATAGTTCTTAGCTCTGCCACAACCACATTAAAGACAATATATGGGGTCCAGCTCACCCTACTGCATTCTACTGAAGGTATAGTTAAGCCCTCATAAAAAATAAGTTTTTATGCACAAGTTTTAATGTTCTAGTACCTTTTGCTAATCTGTAAAGTGGGCATGGCGGGCATAGCTAAGGGACCTCCTCTAAGTCACACCATCAGTGATCGGGCTGCACTGGCTGTTTTTTACAGCACAGTCTAAACGCAATTTGCCTTGTCATGGATGGTGACAATTCATACCACTGCGTTCCAGTGGTGTGCACCTAAAAAAGTGCGGCATGCAGTACGTTTTTTTAACCTATCACCTAACCATAGTGGGATGAGGTACAACCGCATCACACTGCGGTGAGCCCATAGAGCTTAATGAAATATTATTGTAGCATTTCAATAAAGTTCTAACCAAAAAAAAAGGAGAAAAACAGTCAGCACTGTACGGGCACACGCACACCAGCAGCCATGAGGTTCAGCGTGGCAGCTAGTGTGAAAAAGTCCTGAGGCTGTATGTGTCGACACGTCCAGTTGCGCACAGCCGGTGCATTCACAAAAGGTTGAGCACTTCCGTGGAATAAAGAACATCGAAAGGCAGCGTTGTCACCCTATTTCCAGAAGTGCCTGTGGCCAGAATTTTATAAATGTTTTGAGAGGAGAAGGTAGGTTAAAGATGAAAATAAGTGGCCATACTTTATCTAGCATGGGAAAAGGGAGATATATTTTTTGTGGTGAAGGTATAGATAAAGCTCAAAAAGGAGAAATATGAGGCGAGTGAAAATCACTCATCCTCATAGTTTGAGCCGACATGTGACAATTAAACAGTCACACATCAGTTCAATAGATCGGGAAGTGAGCGAACACATACTGTCACTCGCTCACTTCTCGATCGTCTCCCTGCAGAGAACCGTGACCGTCACTCACGACTCCCTGCAGGGATTCCCCCCCCCCCTCCCCGATCCTCCAGTACTGACTCTCGGAACGGACGGGGAGTGGGTGCCTAAATAGGCAGAGCCAGCTGTCACTCACGCAGCTGGGTGGATCTCGACAGTGATGTCGGGATCTGTCCCAGCGGTGACGGTCTCATTATACCGAGAGCTGAGCTTTGGGTGTCGGGAGGATGCTAGTTTGTGTCCTCCCGTGACCCTTAGGAGAACTATGGGGAAAAACGCTTACCCCATAGTTCTCCTTTAATGTAAAATAAATACATACGTTATAAATGAATAAATACATTGCTGGGAGCACTGGTTTGCATGTTAGCAGTTGATTCAACCCACGAACATTCAGCCAAAACCAAAATGCTAGTTGTGTGTGGACTGGCCCATTAGTGAACCAGATATATATTTGACAACCACAACGTGGCTTAAAATGTAACTCCAGCCAAAACTTTTCTTATAGTTTTGGATACTGTGGCCAAACATTATAATCCTAGTGAGTTTTTATTGCTATCTGTGGTCCTTTTTGACTCCGAGACAGGAAGTGAAAGGAAATGTCTCCAACAGGGACTCGACAACAATTAAAGCAACTTTTAGTAAAGTGGGGTAATGTCAGAAGCTCCATCAGACAGGTACTGTTGGTGGTAACCATTGCAGAATTGCCTTTACTTCCTCTCTGTGGAAATATTGTCACCAGGATGAGAAGTGAATGAAGACCTTACAGTGCTTGTGAAGGTTCTCATTTATCCAGGTCATAGTGTAGCTTGTAATAGTTAGCCACATTGATCTGGACTTGTTCTGTAAGGTTGAAGATGCTTTACTACTCATTCAATAGACATTAGAACCGAGGAAGCTGCTTGGATGAGTGGTGAAATGTGTTTAACATTACAAACGAGGTCCAGTCAAAAATTGGCCAGTTACGTCACTGATTTTATCGTACGGTGAGTGCTCAGATAGATAGCGACTGAGCAAATACTCAGCAACAGCCAAGGGCAACAATGGCTAACAAGTGACTGGTTTAGTGGATTCTGCTCTACAAATACAAAGAATCCAGACTGCAAGCAACTCTACACATTTCCTGAATGAAAAAACTCATAAAAATTAACTGTATAAAAAGTTTAGCATTTAACAAAACAGGATTGTCATAATAATTGCAATGTTTGAACATTAGATATAAAAGAACAGCCTGACATACTGCAGGTCACAGTAATAAAGTCTCATGATACAAGAGAAATAAAGGACCAGGCAGCAGAATCCATAGGATGTTTCTTTTTTTCTTCTTGTATCCAGGCTGTGCAGTCTGTGCTTCTACAACGTTAAGAGAACCAAAATATTTACACGAATGGAAGCCATCACTCTGCCTTATGTTCCTCCCGGAGACAAGGAGTCACAACTTTCTGCTACAGCAGGTTTAAATCCACACAGAGGTCTTTCCGTCTCCGGACCGGCTGCTGACGCTGCTCTTGTTAGACCCTTTTTTGGATCGCTTCTCTTTGGTGGAAGGTGGGTTGCTCTGAGTTGAGTAAGCGTGAATGGCAGTTTGCAAGCGTTCTTGTGCCATGCGCACTTCCTGATGAAGGTGTTCTAGGTCAGCGGGGAGAGTGTCCTCACTTGTCCTGTATTGTTGCTCCTGAGCTATGTTGGCCCTGTTCTGCTTGTAAGCCATTTTGGCATTGGTCAGTTCTGTATAATGGATTTGGTCTGGTTTCACAGCAATGTTGTATCCAGGTGGAGCTGAAGGAGTGTTCCATGAGAAAGGATAGGTAGAGGAAGAAGAATCGTCCACTTGCTTCCCCCTGTTGTTAAGTGCGTCCCGTATAGTCCCAAAGCCAAGGTGAAGCATCTCCCATATGTTCAGGAGAAGGCACAAGCAGCTGACGCCATACATTATTAACAGGAAGATGGTCTTTTCAGTAGGTCGGGATATAAAGCAGTCCACTGTGTGTGGACAAGGGTCTTTCTCACACTCGTATCTCCTGATAACTTCAAAGCCATAAAGGAAATACTGACCAGCCAAAAACCCTACCTCAAAAACCGTCCTGACAATCAGCTGCAGGACATAAATCCTCAACAATCCATCAGCCCGAATCCGCCTTCGACCATCATGCTTAATCTTGACATGGCCGTGGTTCCCTCTGTCACTACCCTGCTCAGTCCCTGGGTACATCATGGGGTCTTCTTCATGTTCTTCTTCTACCTCCTCTACAGCCCGATTCTGCTTCCAGCGCTTGGGCATGGCTCTGAACCTTGCCTTCTTATCGTACTCAAAGCGTTCCTCCATTTTGGCGATTTTGTGAATTGCATAACCCAAATACAAAAGTGGTGGGGTGGCCACCAAGATAATCTGAAATACCCAAAAACGTACATGGGAAAGGGGGGCGAAGGCATCGTAGCACACATTCTCGCAGCCTGGCTGATCTGTGTTGCACTCGAACTTTGACTGTTCATCGTAATAAATGGATTCCCCTCCGACGACAGTCAGAACAATTCGGAAGACTATGAGAACCGTCAGCCAGATTTTTCCAACAAATGTGGAGTGATTGTGGATTTCTTCTAACAGTCGTGTCAAGAAGCTCCAGCTCATGTTGCCAGTTCCTCCTTGAACGTAGAACAGAGAAATCCAGTGAATTGGCAGATATAAAAATAATAATGCTTTTCATCTAAAGCATTTCAGACAGAGGCCAATTAAAGACTAAATAAATATGGATTTCAAATAATTTAGCAATAATTTGCCCTGTTGCTAAGAAAGCTACATCCTAATTTCAGCAATATGGTCAGCTTCTATTTTGAGACATGCTGACTTACGTTGGAGAGAAAATTAGCCCTTCCAGTACCGTCTTTTGTGGCCAGCAAGATGTAAGGACGAGCGAGTGAGGGGACAACTATCTCCAGTAGATTTTGGTCATCTTGCTCTTTTCTACACAGCTACAGTGCTGCATAGAGGACACCTTTAAGGGCAACTTAATAAGAACCTGTCGGGATAGGAATATAAAAGCTGCCACTACTCAAATGATTTTAAGGTGCCAAGTGTGGGCCAATATCCTCATCCTTTTTTGGTACTTAGCAAGATGCTACCAATATGCAGGTCATGGGTTCCAATATGCAGGTCATGGGTTCCAACTTCAGCTTACTATGTAGTAAAGCAAGGATGGGGATAGCTCTGCAGATAAGGAAGCTGTATATGAGACCAAGCCAGGACAAGTTATTTCTTGTACAGACGGAGATGGTTATGGCGCACTATTCTTGCTGTAAATTATACAGTCAATTTTTGGTCACGCTACTAAGAATCAACTGATATTGATCACAGAAACCCTCACTTGACCTCTGAAAACTGTATAAATTGTATTACAGGAAATCTCTACCGGGAGAAATATATAGGCTACCATTAGGAACCTCCTCCTAAAAAGGGAGCCTCATGTTATGTTGCCACTTTGGCTCTTGTTATGCGGTCACTTCGGCTTCAACACTTTGAATCGCTGACCTTGAATAATTTTGCAGAGCAGGCGATCTGCTTCTCTCATTTTGTTTTTGAATAACATTTTTGTGTAAAATGACTGAAAGCCAGGCAATCCGTATCTTCAGAAGGACTTCAGTAATGGAAGTCTATGTGTTTCTCTATGTGTATAATGTTTCTCTCATTATAGGTTTCATTTAAAGGTGTAGAGACACAGAAAAACAACAACAAATACTATACCTGCAGTGCCGTGTTTTTGCTAGCTGGTGTTGCCGTGGACATGGGGGACTCATCTGCAACTTCCTGAAATCCCACTGGAAGAGGAGAAGAAAAAAAAGGTTATTACTTGATCACACTATTATCCATACAAACCAAACACAGATAAATACTGTAATCAAGCTACAACAACTTGAATACATGCTTCTTAGGAATAATTGATCCTGCTTAGGGAGGTTCTTCTTTAAAGTGGCCCCAAACCTAGAAAGTGAAGATTTGCTGTGTTGTAGGGAACATCTAGAAATATTAGTTTTGGCTAAACAGTACCCTCAAACATTTACATTTTGTCTTTAATTCCTGCCGAAAAATCCCAGAATACTTTCCATGCCTAGAGCCTCATAGTTGTATACGTGCAGTGGAAGATCATCCAATACAATGCGCGCCTGTGACTGCCAGTCTCACCAGATTTGTAGTGAGATTTAGTGACATTGCTGCTATGCGCTTCAATGTTCTCCTTGCTGGAGGGGAATCTGTATCTGTGGACCTGCAGTGCAAGAATATACTTGCTTCTGTTTTATCCATTCTATGGAGCTGTGCTTCTTCCACCTCTCTTAACTGGTTCCCCACCACTCAGACAACTATTTATCAGAGGGCCCTGACAAGGAGCAGCAAAGCCCTGCCTCTACAATGAGACACAATACAGAATAAGGCATGGTAAGCCAGTAATGGAGAAAACAACAGTTGAAGACAGCCTATAGGAAAATACTGGTGACTAGTCCTTTCCATTTAAAGAGCAACTGAATTGTGAAAACTGTGCCCCAAAAAAAAAGGCAAGCAGAGGGCAAACCTAAATGTAAACTGTAGTGATTGAACTTTATTTTACATACAGTCTACAACAAACCTGTCATAACAAGCACAATTGCAAGCTCCAAATCTCAGTGGCTTATAACTAGGTCAATAGGCAGCCAATACAATGGCATCAGCATGATGTGCAGCAACAAAAGCAGATTATTATACAGTCAATATACATTAAATAGCAACCAAACAGTAACAGTCCGGACGTCCACACTGAAATATTTTACCAGGTACAATGAGCATAAATCCTTGTAGGTTTTTTTTTTGGGGGGGGGGGGGGGGGGGGGGGGAGAGCGCGCACCTCGTTTTTTTTTGTGGTGGGGGGGGGGGGGGGGGGGCAGGGCTAGAACGATCACCTTGCTGTGAAATGGTGGCAGACCTAAAATTGTGATATATCTATACCACATACGATATATATATATGTATGGCATTCTATTAACTGAATATCCACACCTTGCTGGGGGACAGGTAAGTTGATAATGGTAAGTGAGGATCTGAAATATGGACTGACATGTTAAAGCCTATTGCTTCTTGCACATAAAAGAAAAATATGTATTACCTTATCCTCACTGATATCCCTTTTCCCCACTTTAGCATTCCTTCTGCAGCCGTGGCTGTGAAATCTTGAATCAAATATCTGGTTCCCCACACTTATGCTGATAAGATGACCATGCTGCCTTTGCATACACTGTATGAGCAGCTGCTCCCATAGGGACCAACAAATGGAATTATGCATGCCCTAAGAGTGCAAGGTAGGATACTAGGACCTATATCCCAGGTTGGTCTGGTCACACCACAACTAAGAGACGTGCACCTTCCTGAGATATGCGTGTCCGGTACCACTCACTTTTTAATAATAACATTCCAATCATATTTCCTCAAAGCCACAAAGCTCAGCAAAATGAGAAGCAAGGCACCTGGTATTACTTATGAATGATACATTAAATAGGAGGTGCCCGTCTATGTTCTCACACAGAGAAGTCTGAAGGAAGATCTGCTTTAGTGAAGCTCAGGCGTTAAATCTGGGTACTGTTCATAAGTCTTTTACCTAGCAGTGGAATGGAAGGCCTAAAAGTCTAAAAATTAGTTTTGCACTGGGGCCCATGGGTGACTGTCTGACACTGTATTTACTATGTTGCTGCAAAAGGTGGATGGTGAAACGGGGATGCCAGGACTTGTGTGAACTGTACACTTATTATTTAAAGAGGCACTGTCACTTTGCCATACAGGACATGGTTGGAATGTCTCTGATAAAGACCCCTATCGTCCCCCCTTTCCCAACCCCCCTAATATTGACCTTGCCCCATGCTATCTTACCAATCCCACCTCTGTTACAGGTGGGGACAATACCTGAAAAGTGCTTGGGTGTAGCAATCGCTAGGCCTAAACACTTTCAAATAGCAAAGGAGTGAAAGTGTTTAGCTCCCCCTAGCATCTGATCCCAGCAGACACAAGAGCAGGACAAATTAACATTGAATTCAGGAGCCAGTCTGTCCAATCAAGGAGCCAGCAGGAATTTTTATTGACAAAAACTAGAGAAAACCCCAAAGGTTAGGCACCAGTTTAAGGAGCATTGGCTACCTGTCTTCTGAGATTTGCCCAGTCCAGTCAAGATTTTAGATGGCGGAAGAAGCGATGGAGTGCTGGCAAGGTGAGTATCTGTGGCTGAGGAGGCCCCCTTTGCATAGACAAGGACATGGACAAGGTTACAATGTCTCTTAAAAGCACCCTATACCATAGAACAGTGGTTCCCAACCTGTGTAACCTCAGGACCCACATTTGTCCTTAAGTTGCGACCCAGGCTGCACTGCAATGGAGCGCACGGCATTATGGTACAGTACGTTCGTCCAACTGAACTGTGGGCGGGAGGTGCCTTTCAAATGAATGGCAACGTAATGCACCTACCACACCAGAGTGATTGCGTGGTACAGTGTGTTAATTGCCAGTATTCTTACCTTATGAGAACTGGAGTGGATCCTCAGCCTGGGGTCCAGTGTGGGCTGCTGTGCTGTGACGGAGCTTCATCCATATGTGCACTGCTTGTACAACCCCCCTTGCGCACCCTGTAGAGGTCCCGGGAGTCAGAATGTGACATCACTCTGCACTCCGGTCCAGGCATCTCTACAGGACATGCGAGGAAGCTGTAGGCAATGCACGTATAGATGGAGCTCCCTCGCGGCCATAGCTCCAGCCCACCACGCCTAAAGCCGACACTTGGCGCCGAGCAGCATATGAAGGGCTGCTTGGTGCGAGAACTGACAGTTCTGAGCTAGAGGGAGGCTGAGAAGCCTCTCACCTAGAAGTGGAAGGCACGCGGCGACCCCATGAACACGGGGTCACGGCTCACCAGTTAAGAACCAAGGCGATAGACAACTACTATGCAAGTGCCACACCATCCTATGGAGAATTTGGGGTCTCCAAGGACACTCTGGCACCACGAATACTGATGGCACAGTATCTACAATTGCCAAACTATTACACAATAACAATGCTTTACTTTTTCTTTTCTTTTTAAACAGACTTTGAGTTAAGACAACATTACCAAAGTAGGAAGGGTGATGGGAAACTAGTAACTTATTAACTGGAGTAAGAGGATGAGCTCTCTTTAAGATCTGAAAAGACTCAAAGTCAAGATTATTCTTGGCTCTATGATTTTATCAGCTCAGATAAAGAGCCCGAAACTCACAAGTTACATTTAATGAAACCATCACACAATCCTTTTAAAATGGAAGAATACGTAAAATTGTTTATATCCCAAACAGGGTTGAAAGACAAATCATATCACAAAGAGAAAAAACGAACAACAACAACAACCTTAGAAGGAAACGCGGCACAGAATTAGCATTACGTTAATTTAGCACATACTTGACAAGCTTCCAAGACTCCAAACTTTTCCCCTTAGGCTACAACAACAGAATATACAAACAACCGAAAATCTATGCCAGTCTAGCAAAAACGGGAACATCGGAGTGCGATATATTAAGATATCAAGGTCCTGCAAGCGACTGACATGGAAACCTCGAGTGCCTTCAGCATGATAAAATGTGGCACACTATTGACGTTGGGTCACGTTTAGGAGAGCGCTTGATACGAATATTAACTCAATATTTGCACAAAAGGAATATGAAATTATTTGCAGTGACACCTGTCAAAAACAAATACTGAGCAGACACCAGAATCCTTTTCTTTAATTAGGCCGTAGAAAACAGTGATGTCAACAACTGTCGCTGCTTAACATCTTTCTGAGCTGACGTGTTGTGAAGGGCGTGCTGACTCTGCAAAAAGAAAAGGCAGCATGCAGATTCTACAACCGGATCATCCGCGCACATATACAAGATCATCAGGTAGGCATCAAAAAATGTCTAGGATCAGTTCTGGTCAACACTGATGTGTAGAATTATACCAAATGAAGAACACCCTGTACTCAGCCCTTTAAAGAATCGCTGATAAAAGTCAGAATAATTATTTTTATTTTGAGGATTTTTTTAAGTCCAGATCTCCGAACCTCAAAGTGGGATTTCCATCCAAAATTTGGAATTTTAAAATAGTATCCACCTGATCAGCACCTAGATTTTGGGCAGTGTTATGATCTGGGGTTGCTTCTGTTGGTCAGGTCTAGGTTTAGCAACATCATGTCCCCAAAAAAATAAGGTTGGCTGTCTACCTGAATGACCAGGTTTTTTCATCAATGGATTTTTCTTCCCTGATGGCACATTGGGTATATTCAGAACACAGCGGCACAGCTGCTGAGCGCATTAGATTTCTTCAGCGTCACTCCGTCCACCGGCCTTTTTAAACCCGGCAAATCTCCCACCAATGTCACTCACTTTTCTTTTCGAGCTTGAGAAAGAGGATCTCATCGAAACGCTTTGCTCCCTCACCACCGTCCTGTGCACATCCTTCTCCAGCCCTCTGCCACCTTTACTCTACCACCTCCTAATATTCCATGGCTAAGATCAGAGGTAGCCGCTCCCCCGGCACACACAGCCCCAGGTTCACATCTGGTCTTCACTCAATTCTTCCACCCCTGGGTTCACTACACACACCCGATGACTCCCACTCCAGCTGTCACGGCCAAATCCTAGGACCTGTCCTGCTTTGCCCTCAAGTCCTCATCTGGAGACCATCATATATTGAACACTTCTTCACAACAGTCCTTGCATCGCCAGAATCCCATCAGGGCCCCCCTCGCCCGGATCTTTGACACCCAAAGTAAGTCCCCATTTTTAATCTTTTAACTTAC